GCTCTGGAAGATTCGGATGTCCGTCGGAAGCAAATGCGCGATATTTAAGTCCATCCTTCTGGTGCTCATAGGTATACTTGACTGGTAATCACTTTAGTTTATTTCTCCCTACTTAGTCTCAAGCAATCAGCAATCTTTTGAAGAACGTCGTGGGACTGGTCTACGTTTGTCCTTTTCCGGTCTCGGTCCCTCATGGCTGTACTTCATTTTCGTTTAGATGGCCTTGGAACCTGTAGATGAATGCGAGAAGCAGTTGCTACAGGTCTTTGGGCCCCTGCGAAGTTGGGAAAATACATGCATGTCCGATACGCAACCTGAATAGAAGAGTACCGCCATGGGCAGATTCTCCAGGATATGGTTGTGAAACCGTAGCCTGGAGAGCCCTTACCCAGACGTCGCTTTCTGTCTTCAAGTTTCACCAAATAGCATCTGACGTATTGTGCAAGGTTGTTTATTGCTTCTGCGGCATCATTGCTGTAGCCTACTGCTCACCGTCTGGTCTTCTAATACGCATAAAGTCCCCAGTCTGATAAAGCAGAGAAGGGGTAATCGTCGCGATCTTCCAGAGACCACCGACGCGGACGAACTGATGCTGCATGTAACTCCTCCCATCACTCGTCTCGTTGATCCTCGCGGCAGACGCGTCCCTCGCGCCCCCACCATCGGCCTGTAAACGTCCATGACTTGCCAATTGCTGCCACTCTACCACAATTTCATCGGCAGTGACCTTTTTGAAATATGGCTGCGCCAGGAGGTGTTGTGTCACTAAGGGCTTAAGGCCTAGGTGCTCCTCTGAGAGCCAAAGTGCCGCGAACTCGGCCGCCTGGTACTGCTTTATTCCCCACGCTGGCACGATTAACGTGTAGTCGACAGAAACCTCTGGTGCTAAAGCGGCGAGGAGTCGCTCTTCACTCTAGAATTGGAGAAAAGGCAATTAGCATTACTCTGTTTACTTGTTTATGTAGGAATAAAAGAAGTTATGCTTATACCTTTCTATCATAACCATCTGCCCAGACCCTTGCTGTTTGAACAACGGCAATGTAGTCCTGGAAGGTCAGATTATCTGGAATGTAAATCTCGAATGCCATTTTTAAGGGATATTCTTTCCGGTAATGTCGGCATCTATTGGGCCAGAAACGTTCTGACGCTGAATGATATCAGACGCTATTTATCAACTAACAAGAGTTCCCGCGCCCATCGAGCTTATACCGGGAATCCCGGTGTTTTTGACGCGGGGTCGGTAGATGACGGTGTCCGGAAATCCCGCCCGGGAAGTCCACTCGGGAAGTCCACCTGGCAAGTCTTATCCGAGAAGCTTGTCCATGCGCCCGCCAGTGCAATATTCAAGCTGATTGGTATATCATGTAACTCTAGGACCAGCAATTAAATCATTTCGATTTATCGTATTAATTCTTGAAACCATTTTTGTACTTAAGATGATGCAGTCACCATACAGCCTCCGCACTGGCATTTATCCCGAGATTGACCCAGATCGACTCACAGGCTCACTAGCAGGCAAGAATGTCCTGATAACAGGTTCCGGCAGGGGTATCGGCCGGGAGATTGCACTCGCCATGGCGCGAGCCGGGGCTAATGTTTGCGTCACGGCACGAACAAGCAGCCAGGTCGAGGAAACAAAAGCCGAAATTGTGAGCTTAGGTCTCGACGGCAAGGTCATTGGCATTGTGGCCAATGTACTAAAGCTTGAGGATCAAGAACGCCTCGTACGCGAATTCCGTGAACAACTCGGCCCCGTCGACGTGTTGGTGTGCAATGCCGGCAGCAACATCTTTCAGCCTTTCCACTTGACAAATGCAACCGATTGGTGGGACATCATGGAGTTGAACGTGCGAGCACCAGTTGAACTCACCCGACTCGTCCTTCCAGAAATGCGCGAGAGGAACCAAGCCGTCATAATCTACACTTCATCACGGGCTGCCAAGGCGGACCTCCCATGGACCACGGCATACAACTGTGCCAAGACGTCTATCACCAGATTCGCGGGCACTCTCCAAGTCGAGCTCGATCAAGTGCAGAGGATTGAGAAGGGGGTGGATAACAACATATCCATCTTCAGCATTCACCCGGGCGAGATAGATACTAACCTTCACGAGACGGCGTTCCCCGAAAGAACAAAACGAGAGGCCCCTTACGTTATCGAGCACATGAATAAGATAGGCGCCAAGAGACCTCATTTTGAGGCCGCCTTGCCAGCATGGACTTGTGTATGGCTGAGCTCCGGAAAGGGCTCAGACCTCAAGGGGAAGTTTGTAGATTGTACCCGTGATGTTGGCGAACAGGCGAAGGAGGCTAGAGGGGCAGTAAAAACATAATATCAGGGCTAAATATAAATTAATTATATAAGTATATTGTACCTGGGTTATTTATAAATATTAAATATTAAAGAAGTTTTAATATTTAAATTTAATATATATAATATATAAGGTGTTTATTATTAATTAAATAATATAATATATTTAATAAGTAAGTAGAATAGATAAGTAAGTACTCTATGTTCCTTAGCCTTTTTAAGCTATAGCTTAAGCTCTTAAGCTATAGCTTAAAAAGGCTAGCTTTTACTTACTAAACTCCTCCCTAAATAACTTAAAAATATCCTTATAAGTCCTTATATTATAACTGCCCATATTATATATATTATAATATTAATTACTTACTTATTTTAACCTTCCTTAATTACTACTTTTTAATAATATAACTATTACTTATATATTAATATTTATTTAATTAATTACTTATAGTACTCTGTATATAATTATATTCCCTTTTTTTTTTATAATTTAATCCTTTTTACCTTATAATATTAACTTAGTATCTTATTTATATTTTAAAGATTTTAAACCTTAGCTCTTAGTAATATTTTCTTATATATTATAATTTTTTTTTTTTTAAAAGAGACTTTAAGGCTTTTAATATTAACTTTAAAAAGCTATTATAATAATATTTAATTGAATTATTAAGATATTTAAACTAAGATTAGGCCTTAATTATTATCTTTAAGGTCTTTAAAGCTTATAGTATTAATAGTTAAGTAGCCTCCTTTAAAGGTATTAGGGTCTATAGTTATATATTAAGCTTTAAGATTATAATTTCTAGGTTAAGAGGAATAAGCTTAGCTCTTTTAAAACCCTTTTAAATATTATTTTTTTAAAAATAGCTTTAAATATAATATATAATATAAAAAAAACTTAATCTTAAAAATATAAATTATAAAGTATTTAATTATTTAATTATAAATTAATTAAAATACTTTAGCTATTTAAGACCTAGCTTATTATTTATTTACTTATTTTAGCTTATTATAATAACTTAATGACCTAAGAGGTTATATTCTTAGTATTAATTAATAAGATAATATTAGCTAATATTAATAATAAATAATATAATTAATTAACCTTTTATATTAATTAATTAAATTATAATATTTTATTTTTCTTTTTTAGGCTATATTAATTTTAATCTTTCTTATCTTTTTAATCCTATAATAGCTATACTGGCTATAATAAGGCTTATTATAAAGTTAATTTTATTAAAGTTTTAGATATTATTTAATTAAGTATTATACTTTATAATTATATTTTATATAAGCCTAAACTAGCTATAAATAATAATTAAATCTTTATATTTAGCTCTTTGCTAATTAAATCTTTAAAATAAATATATCTTTAGTTTTAATAATTACTTTATAAAATTATAGGTTAAGCCTAATACTTATTAATAGGTAATATATTATAATCTATAAGTAGAAAATTAGTTATTTCTTTTATAAAATATAATTATAATAAAAGTCCTTATAAATTTAGGTTAAAAATAAATTAAATTATTATTTATTCTCTTAAATTAAATAATCTTTATAAATTTAAAATAGAATTATATTATAATTAAATACTATTTTAGTAATAATATAAAGTAAAGTAGTTATCTTTATAAATATTTATAATATATTAAAGACTTAACTTTAGATTATTTTAAAAAGCCTAATAGGCAAAAAGTATTCTAGCTTTATTTAAGAATTATAATATATTAAGTAATTAAGAATTAATTAATTAGATAGTTAGATATAAGATTAAGGGATTTTTAAAGTACTTACTTATCTAGAGTACTTGCTTATTAACCATATCAGCCTTTTATTTAATTAATATTTTTAAAAAGATAAAGTATTAACTTAATTATTAATTCCCTGCTTATATCTTAAAATAAATCCTTAGTTTTCCTATTTCTAAGTATATCTAATATTAATATAAGATTAAACTTATAAGCTCTTAATAATATATTTTTTAAAACTAAAATAACTAATATTACTTTATTACTAAAAATATTAGGCAGTTAATAAGACTAAAATAAGATAAAGGATTATTAGCAGGTTTATAAATATATTAAAGAAGTTAACATACTTAATAAGCGAGTGACCCAGACAAGCAAGTGACCCAGCATACTATACAGCAAAAAATAGGCTACCCTATAACACTTAGCTACCTTAAATAAAATAGCTAAAAATTTAATAAAAATATTTTATAAAATAATATATTTAGTTTTATTAAATTATATTTTTTAAACATTTTTAGCTATTTTATATTATATTTAAAACCTTAAAATACAGTGTATTTTATAGTATAAATATACTTTAAAGTTTATAGCTATATAGGATTTTTTTTAAAAATCTAAGAAAATTAATATAGCTTAATTTAGGACTTATATATAAGCTATTAAAATTATAGCCATTTTAGGCTTAGTCTAAGCTTTTTATAAGCTTTTAAAAACTGGATTTTAAGGTATATAGGGTAGTAGGACACATACTTGTCTGGGACACATGCTTATCATATACGTTATATTTATATTATTAAATATATAATTATTAATTACTAGCATCATATCCTATATTAGAATTAATATATATTAGTTAATTAATTTTTATTTAACTACTTATATAAGATAGTAAGGAATAAAGATAATAAAAAAGAGAAAGTAAAAAAGTAATAAAATTAACCGCCACGTCCAAATGCAGGATAAGTAGGTGTACTAGAATCACAAGCAAATCTAACAAAGTATTTGCTCGATGACCCAGAGCCATCAACGATTACAGTACCATCAGGAGCTGTAACAGTTACTATCATAGAATAGTCTCCCTGAGCATTAGCCCAGAAAACCCGGAACGGCGTGTAAGTACCCGCTGTCAGCTGCATCTTGAGGGTCTTAGAGCTGGAAGGCCCTGATGAGTAATTCTGCTCCAGATCTGCATTGGCACGTGTCCATGTTGACAAAGCCTTATTACCAAACCAAACCAGTGTAACCTCATCGGAGTATGGGACAACAACAGAGTAAGTACCATTGATAGGCGCATATAAGAATGCCCGATGGTTCACAGCCTTATACTGCCATGTCTGACTTGGTGAGCCAGGATAAATAGCCTGAGCAGGGCCTGAGTTTCCTGCTTTTACTCCTCCTGGTTCTGTAATGCCCATGGAACTCGTAATACCACTGTAAGTCGGTGCAGTTGTGGCAAAATATGCTACGTTGAGGGCAGAGTAATTAGGCGGATCAGCGTTGTAGTACGAGTTGGTATAGATAGCGTATTCCAGACCAGCGTTGCTACATGTTTGATCTGCAGCCTTTGTTCCAACTGCGGGAGCGATGACAACTACAGTGGCAGTCTGCCCGCCTGAAGCAGGTGTCCCAGTGGATGTGCTGATGCTTGAGACAGTGGTATAGCTAGTTACAGTGGTGTATGGTTGAGGCTTTTGCATAACCACGGTAGCAACGCCACCAAGAGATGTTGGCGATAAGGTAGTGGTACCAGCTGCTGTGAAGGTACCCCAGCTTGTGACGGTCGTATAGGACTGGGGTCGTTGAACAACAACAGTAGCAACGCCACCCGGAGAGGTTGGCGACAAGGTAGTAGTACCAACTGTTGAGAAGGAACCCCAGCTTGTGGTAGTTGTATAGGGCTGAGGTAAGTCCACGACGACAGTGGCTACACCGCCTTGGTACGCTGGTGCCATTGTAGTGGTTGATGCTGCTGTAAAGCTGCCATAGTTGGTCACAGTCGTATAAGGCTGGGGTGATTGTACAACAACAGTGGCTACACCGCCACGGGATGCAGGTGCCATTGTAGTAGTTGATGCTGCTGTAAAGCTGCCATAGCTAGTTACAGTTGTATAAGGCTGGGGTGACTGCACAACAACAGTAGCTACACCACCTTGTGATGCTGGTGCCATTGTAGTGGTTACTACTGCTGTAAAGGGACCATAACTGGTCACAGTCGTATATGGCTGGGGCAGTTCTACTACAACACTAGCAACGCCACCTGGAGATGCCGGTGCTAGGGTGGTTGTTACTGCTGCTGTATAGGGACCATAACTGGTAACAGTTGTGTACAGCTGAGGACTCTCTACAAGAACAGTAGCCAAGCCTCCAGGACCAGTCGGGGATAATGTTGTAGTAAGAGGTTGAGTCCAAGAGCCATAACTAGTCACAGTCGTGTATGCCTGAGGACTCTCTATAAGAACAGTGGCCGGATCCCCAGGATTAGCAGGTTGGTTCGTCGTGGTCATAGGAGCAGTTAAGCCATCAACATAAGTCGTGACAGTTGTATAGGGCTGAGGGCTTTCTATAAGAACAGTGGCCGGATCCCCGGGATAAGCCGGTTGATTTGTCGTAGTCACAGGAGCAGTTAAGCTATTAACATAAGTCGTGACAGTCGTATATGCCCGAGGGCTCTCAATAATAACCGTGGCAGGATCCCCAGGACTGGCTGGTTGGTTTGTAATAGTCAGAGGTGCAGTCAGACTATCAACATACGTGGTGACGGTTGTATATGCCTGAGGGCTTTCAATAAGAACAGTGGCCGGATCCCCGGGATAAGCCGGTTGATTTGTCGTAGTCAAAGGTGCAGTCAGACTGTCGACATAGGTCGTGATAGTTGTATAGGGCTGAGGAAGACCAAGGACTACAGTCATCACATCGCCTGGATTAGCTGCCAGTAAGGTTGTAGATGCCGGGCCTGCGAGGCCTGGAATGTAGCTTGTGACTGTCGTGTAGGACTGAGGTAGATCAACCTCGACAGTAGCAAACTGTCCTTGCACAGCGACTGAGTATGTTGTAGTCTCAGCTGCGGTCAGACCATCTTTGTAGCTCGTAACGGTTGTAAAAGGTTGCGGAAGATCAACTTCTACAGTGCCTACCAGCCCTGCAACAGAGGGCGGATATGTTATAGTGGTGGTTGCGGTGAAGGAGCCATAGCTGGTGACTGTAGTGTAAGGCTGAGGGAGATCAACCACGACGGTAAGAGTTGGGATGGGCCCATCATCGCTTTCAGTTGTTGTAGCGGCAGCCGTGACGCTTCCATATCTGGTGATAGTCACGTAAAACTGCGGATCAAAGACCACGACAGTGCCCGTTTCCCCTGGAGTAGATGGAGCTATGGTGGTTGTAGATTCAGCCGTAACGCCTCCGTACGAAGTAACGGTCGTATATGGCTGTTGCATTAAAACCAAAACAATACCTGTCTGGCCAGGAGCAGGAGGAGGCGAGGTGTATGTGGTATCGGTCGAGACGGCTCCGTACGACGTAATGGTCGTATATGGCTGCGATTTGAAGACTACTACGGTGCCCGTCTCCCCTGGAGTAGATGGAGATATGGTAGATGTCGATGCAGCTGTAAATTCTCCAAAGGAAGTGACGGTCGTCCACTGATAAGCCTGATACACAACAACAGTGCCTGTTGCACCTGGAGCAGTTGGAGATATAGTAGATGTAGATTCAGATGTAAACTCTCCATTAGACGTGACGGTAGCCCACTTATAAGGCTCATATACAATAACAGTGACTGTCTGTGCTTCAGGAGACGGTGATAGAGTGGTTGTGGATGCGGCTGTGATCCCTGGATCGTAAGAGGTGACGACTTGCCACTGGTATGGCTGATAAATAACAACGTTGCCTGTTGCGCCTGGAGCAGTTGGATATATAGTATTTGTTGATGCTGCCGTGACACTTCCATAGGAAGTAACTGTGATCCATGGATCTGGTTGGTATACCACGACGGTACCTGTTTGGTTTGGGGACGCTGGGGAAATAGTCTTTGTAGATGCGGCTGTGATTGTTTGGTCATATGAGCTGACTGTCACCCATCTATATGCCATATACATGACTACCGTACCTACATGACCAGACGCAGAAGGCCACATAGTCGTTGTATGGTCAGACGAAGCGGCATCGTCATAAGAGGTGGTGGTCTCCCATTCGTATGGATCATAGACAACAACAGTACCAGTTTCTCCAGGAGCACTAGGAGTTATTGTACTCGTGACTACAGCTGTAATCGAGCCATCATAGGATGTCACGGTTACGTATGGAGCTAATGGGCTCGGTACCACAATTACCACCGTACCAGAGCCAGATCCTGACGGGGCCTCGGTGATGGTGTAAGTACCGGTGTCGGTGCCGGTGCTTGTGATGGTGGTATAGTCAATCGGGGAATCCGAGGTCATTTGAGACCTGGGGACCATGACCCAAACCGTTCCTGTCTCACCAGGTCTAGTTGGAGATTGCGTGATGGTCATAGGATCAGTACCAGTTCCTTGAGAAGTTATTGTAGTCCACGGCACTGCAGGATCTGAAGTAGTTGTAGAGCCGTCCTGGGAAGGAGTCTGTATGATGCTAACAGCAGTGCTATCAGTGCCTTGCCCAGTTGTTGTAGTCCATGACGCTGTAGGATCTGAAGAAATGGCAGAGCCACCTTGAGAAACGGTAGAACTTTCGGTCTCAGAAGGAGATAAAGCCAAGACCGGAGCTTGGGAAAGAGGAGCCTTTGTATCACCTTTCTTGTAACCTTGCAGTCTGACGATCACGGTTACTATGTCGCATGGATGTTCGGTAGGCAGAGTGGTTGTCTCAGGCGCAGTTATTATACGGTCAGTCGACGATAATATAGTCACATGGCTCTTTACCATGACAGTCCCACATGATAGCCCCTGAGAGTCCATGAGGGGAATGTTGAATGTAGTGTTTGGTTCACCATGTCCATAAACGGGGGTAGTGGCAGTGTAGGTAGCATCAGTTCGGATGAGAAATGTACTACGGACATTAGCTAAAGAAAGCCGGTGAGAAATCCCTACATCTCATACCTTGTCAAAGTATCATACAATGTAGACGATCCGTCGATGATCTCGATGGGCTGTGTCTGAATGGCCCGCTTGCCTACCAAAGTTGCATCGGATCCTGTGCCTAAGAAGGCCAGGGCCCAGAAGCCCACCATGCGGCGAAGCGACATAATAGAGGAGCGTAGGGAAAAAGAAGCTTGTCAATTGGCTGAATAATGAAACAAATGAATAAATGTTCAGTTGGTTAACTAAAATGATCGAGGAAAGGAATGGAAGGAGGAAATAAATAAATAGCACAATGTGAATGAATAGGCCAGAGAGCGATCTGAGAAAACAAGGCTGACATCTAGCTTTCATCATGAGGCACCATCGGCAGAACTTATTTTATTCTAGTTCATCCGCCTTTAATCATTCTGGTCGACAGTAAGGATGCGTGAAACTTTCGGTGGGCTATTTAGTGCGGTTCCGGTGCTTACAAAAAGATTCGAGACCGTATGCAGTGTCCGACCCGATCCAGGAGTGTTGAGCAACCATGTCCTCGGCTAGCTCGGCAATGTCTGCCGCAGCAAGAAATGATATTCTTTATTACAGTTTGGGCTAGTAATTTCTACGTGTCTTTTATATAACTGGCCTATATAAGGGCAGTGGTGCAGATGGAATGCTAAGTTCGCATTGGGGATATAAGCTCTCAGCCACAAGTCTTAACTGCAAACAAAACATTAAAGGAATGTAATATCACTTAGTGGTATTTTAGTTTCGGTCTAGTCTGGGAGAGCCTTTCTATTACTTTTTTTTATATATAATTTACATAAGGGAGAGAGATCTAGGATCTAATAATTAATATTTCTTAGCTGAGAATGCTTAACACTGGAGGGACTTATTTGTACTTATAGGTTAACTTAATTCTGGTCTAGTAATATCTATATAGAAAGCATCACTTCTGTAAGTATTATTATTTTATTAAGATAAATAATAACTAAGAAATGTCTCCCTGTCTATTGAATCTGCATGGTATGGAAACAATAAAGCCACTTCAGTTGAGGAGAAACAAGCAATACGCCAGCCTGAACAAAAGCCAAGAAGCTAGACTAATGCCGGGGAAATTCAGGGGCCGCACCGAGTGAGATCAGATTTGCGGCATGGACAGTAGCTCCTTTAGTACTCACTCGCGTGATACTAAGCTTATAAGTTCATATTAGCCGTGTTCCGCCCGGCGCCACAAGATCTGATCTGATTTGTATTAGAATCATGTAAAACCTTTTTCCCTTCCCTTTTACTAAACTATTTACGACAGGAACAGGGTCCGTTCTGATTTTTAACTCTAAGTAATTAACACAGAATGGGGCCCGTTCTTGCATTGCAGGGGACTATGCCACCTATATTAAATGCATTGAATTTAATATTCTACTTCTATTACTATTGTATTTCCTATCTGGCTTATATCTTAAACCCTATTATAAATAACTAATTACCTTCTTAAACTACAGCTTAAGAAATAAGGCTTAAGTTATAGTTTAAAAAAGGCTTAATATATACCTATTAATTATATTAATTTTACTCTTAAGTAATATATATAATAATAATAAGGCTTATTCTTATTATAGGGGATTATACTACTTATCTTTTTAAGGCTATTTATATTTATATAAGTACTTATATAAATAAGATATTATTATATTAATAATACTAATTAATTAAAAATACCTTATATAAGTATATTAAAGCTAATTAATTACTTAAGACTTTATTTATTATATATCTTAGATTTAATTATTTTTATTTATTTAACTTTCTATTAATTAGTATTTTACTTATCTTATTTATAATAAATTAACCTCTTAAAGTCTTTTTTAATAATACTCTCCTCTTAGAAGTTATTTTTAGCTTATAAAGTAAGCTGCTTATTATAATTAGTAAATAGGTAAATATATAAAATTATACTTTTATTATATAAAAAACCTTTAATTAATCTTTTATAATTACTTAAATATATAAT